TGTTGTTCATAATGTCGCGTCCGTACGCGCCCATAATCTTGGCATCGCAGCACCCGTCTCGCCTCCTACCAGTGCGTGAGTTGGCGTCCATTAACACCACGAGATGGTCACGGCTGTGAACCTCCCGGATCGCTGCGTCGAGAGCAGTCCAGAAGGAGTCCTTGGCTTTAACGTCACCGCCCGCGGTGGTGCGGACAGTTTCTGTGGGGGCGTACCCCACCACGAAAGTTACTCCGCAGGTGCGGCCAATTTGTAGACGCACCTTCATCAGCCTCGCTCGGGCTAATGCACTCCACCGTCCTACCTTCCTCGCCCACACTCTCCCACATGGTCTCCTTGATCGCTATGCTCACACCGTCTACGCCCCTCTTTGTCCTTGGTGCCAGCACGGGCGCCACTCAAGATGATCACGTACCCGTCGTGTGCAATTGAACCTTGCCCCTCTCGTCGGGTCTCCTGAAGTCCTATCACATCACAGCCGGTCGCAGAACAAATCTGCATGACCGTCATCACGTTGTGACCGATGGGGTTCCTACCGCTGCAGGCGAGCGTGCGTACGTTGAACGTGCCGAACGTATTTCGGCGCTGTTTACACAGCGCAAGCGTAGCCCCTCACCCAAAGGATGCCGTGACTCCGATCCATCCTTCTCGGCGGGAAGCCAAACCTCTCCTCCCTCTTCCTGAGGTGCTTCCTGTCCCCCTGTTCCGCAGGTGTTTCTTTTGCCCCCTCGTCCTCTGGTGTTTCTTCTTTATCCATTCCCACCGCTCCTCCTGTCGGCGGGGCCGCCTCAGCGCCAGCTTCCACATCTGAACTCAGCCCTCCCTCGTGTCTCTCTCCCCCCCCCCCCCCCAGCAGGCGGCTCCCACCGTCCTTCAGATTCCTCGTGTTGATTCCGAGCTCCCGCCGCTTCCTGTTGGTTCCTAACGCTTCGTATGCATAACCTGCGCCGCCGTCCATTCAGCAAGCAATGTTTCAATCCCAGGAATGTTCGTCGCAAATTGGATGTACCGATTGGTTGCACGACATGGGTGTGTCAAAAACTTGAGCATGATATTCTCCTCCTCCAAATTAAATCAAGCCTTCCCTTTTGGCGCTGGGATAAGAGACTCATGGATCTCCGTTTGGCTATTCCGATCCAAGTAGTGTTGGTCTCTACGCAACTACCCATGGTCGTCGTCCCCTACCCAACGCACGTTATTTGTGTCTAGGCTGCGGGGAAGGAGCAGAACCAAGTAAGCAAGGATGTTCCGTTGTAAAGGGTTTCGATTCAACCTTTACTGCTGCCATCGACATCGCACGTGCAAGGAACTCGGTTGCATAAACTATTCGTTCATGGGGGTGTGGTGTCTTAAGCAACCGCTGCACTCGTGCTATTTTAACGACAGCGGTTGACAGGGTCCTCCCGATTATTTTACGTATTTGAGCCTGTGGCCATATTCAGAGCGCTCAGCAGGTAATGCACACGCAGCACGCACAACAGGCGAGAGGAATATGTACCGCACACTACAGGGAACAGGCGCACGGAGGCATTTCGGGCATCGCGCAACCGGCAAGACAGCAGGGGCTTGCGGAGTGTTTCCAACCTGCAACAACACCACATGACATGGCGTACATGTGCAACACGGCCACGTAGAAGGCAGCCAACGCTGCAAAACCGGCGAGAGGAATCCTTCTATTCTATGTGCACACAAACCACTCGATCAGGAGGCCTATCTTAAGTGTTGTCGATGTGCGTAAACTTTTGGGCGGTGTGCTCTCTGGCCTAATTTGAGTTGTAGCGCGTACAGCGACACATGATACATGATACACAGCAGCTCCCGACACACGAACAGGCAGGTGGTGTGCTCCCCACTATGCGAAGCCACAATTTTCAGTGCCGACTATCACAATCAATCGAAGAACTATGCGTATTCAGCAGAACTCTTCTTCTCGTATGTAGAGAGGCAGAGACGAGGAGCGCTGTCCATGAGCACCGCGTGGTGCGCGGCGAGACTTGCGCTGCGGCGTGATTTCCAAGGCCATCCAAGGCCACCTCGGCCATGCCCCAGAAGTTAGTTAACAGCAGCCTTGTACGCTTGACCAATGGGAAATATCAGTAGCCACATACCTTCTCCACGCAACCTTGGCGCTCTTGCCAGTCGATCTCTTCCTCCTAGCTGAGCTTTCCACGTCGTCAAGCCTCTGGCCACGGTCTCGCTGCTGTAGCCCAGTTAATAGGGTCTCTGGATGAGGCGTGTTTTTGTATGATGTCTGCGCGCCAGCGGCGCATAAAATCCTAAACACAGCGTAACACTGCTGTCCGCTGGGACGTGCTTGCTACCCACAACTACACGTGCTTGACTGTTGGAGGGAGCCATCATGAAGTCCTACACGCTGCTGCTGGCTGCTCTCATCGCTATTGCCCTAGTGTGTCCATCATATGCTAAGGGGTGAGTGGCGCTTTCGACGCAAGGCGGATGGCATACGCATCATGGTGAACTGCTCACGCGGCAAATCACCTGTTTGCCGTGGTTCAATTTGGTCTGGTTCTGTGAAACGTTCCCACGTTCCCACACACATAATCTCCACGCCCTGCTGCCCCCTGTTAGGGGGAGACTGCATGGTTACGACACACCCCATGATATCTTACAGCCGCCTCTCTCTCTGAAGCCGGTGGGTAGCGTGTGAGGCAGAGGGCGACGAAAGAACCCGAAAGCGCCGTTCGCTCTCACTGAAGCCTTGCGTTGGAGGAGCTAACCGCGACACCCAGATATTAATTGCATGTGTTCGGCCCCGCCGTACCTGTAGGCCACGAAACTGCCGTACGATCACGCCAGTGCTTCCCTTTCGCCTCATTGCCTGTGAGGTTGGGTGTGCACAGGCCAACGGTGAAATACAGGGAGCATCACCCCTGTTGTATGTATTAGACCATATTTTCCGGTGCTTGGCCCGTCGAGCTCGACGGACGACGCACGGTCCTTGTTGGAACAAATGTCCCCCCTGCCCGGTTGAATTCATCCACATTAGTGTCGTGCAGAGACTACCCGCCGAACGCCAGAGATCTCGGGACGGCCTTGACTCCCGGACCTAAAGTCGTCCGAATCGAACGTGACGGCAAAGCTCATAATTTCGAAAAATCACCTCATCAGATGCGGCGGAATTGGAAATACTTCCGATTTCGTTCCCGTTGTTTTCACGCTTGACGCGTGACGCACACACCCACACACAACCGCACTGAGACTGACGTCTTTTCATTGGTCAGCCGGTTAGCGCGGTCGATGCTAATAATAAAAACCCACACACCCCGCGTAGGAGCGTACACGTAGCAGGCGACTTTTCCCACCAACATGGGTCTATTGAAAATCGACAAGTACAGAGCAATACTTCCGAAGTCACAGATCCAGTTAAGCCTTTGCTCCATCGGCCGTTTTATTTTCGATTTAGATACACAAACTTTGTCTCCATACTATTATCAAGTATTTTCACCTACTTATTCTCCGTCATACAAACGAAACGGCCGATGGAGCAAAGGCCTAGATCCAGTGCAAACGTGTCGCATCAAGGGCTTCAAGCGAACTACACAGCAGTAGTCGAGACAATTTTTGTTGTAGCTCTTAAATTCAGGTCACATGACTGCTGTACAAACGTACCCCCAAGTCTAAAAACCAGTTACATGTACAGAACCTCCCCTTGTCTCAAAAGCAGAGCAGCTGTTTCACCGCGTGGCCTACAAACCAATGTACAAATACAGAATGTGAGTCCTTGGCAAGGGCTACAATACAACGACCTTGGCGAAGAAACCAGGAACTTCAGGTTTCGAGGGATTTATGTATGCATACGTGGGCGCACAGAGGGTTGTCACCGATGATGTTTTGTTTGTACTCGTATGACCCAGATTGGCGCGTCAAACGTGTACCGAAAGATGCGGACTGGCGCCAGAATAGATGGGAGACGAGAGAACGCACGCACACGTGCATGCACACACTCTCACACACAGACTGGGGGCGCTGCAAAGTCCAACGACATACAATATCTATCTTTCTGCTCATCGTTCTCTCTCTCTTCTCTACAGCAGTACACATGCCTGTCAATAGTTGAGAAATCCGGAAATCCGAACACCCCTTTCAACCGACTCACGATGTTGCCTCTACAACGAGAAAAACACGGCCCATGTTGTGAATGAATGCGACTTCTCTAAACCTGTATCATCTCGTTGAGTGTTACAGCCCCATGTCTGACTGCTTGTCCACTACCAGGTGATACTACACAACGGTAGTCAAGTGTTTTCAAGGGGGACAGGCAAATGGGGGTATTGAACCCCCACAGAACGGGGGGGAAGGGGGAGTATGCGAACACTCGCACGCCAGAGTTCACTGTGCATGCTAGCCTTACATAGCATGGGTGCAGATCATACGCACACGCACGACCCCCCCCAGTCCGGGTAGCCGATTGCAAGCGTTTTACGTTTGGGCGTCTTTCCGTTGGTGAGCCGGTTGGCGCGATCGAGTTGCCTATTGCAGAGCCACCACACTCGAACCTCCTGTTCCAAGAACTCTGAATCAATCCGGAGACTGGGCGTCGTCGTCCACTCTCCTTCTCGGCCCTCCTGCCGAGGGCCCCGCGGGCGAGAACAGGGCATCTTGTCGCTTTTTTCGTCCCGCTTGCTGTGAAACTGACGCCTTGGCCAGCCGGTTGGCGCGGTCGATCCTGATGAATGACTCCCCCCCCCTATTCGGTTGCGAGGCTGGAAGGTGGCTCCTTCTCCAGATGTATCACGGCAGCCAGCCCGAGCGAAGAGTGAGCAAAGGAAACTAAATTAACCGAAAACCAAGCCGCCCCTTCTGTCGCTCTCTACTCGTCTTCGGGCAGCGGTAGGGACATCGAGCTCGTGCGCTTCTTTTTTTTCCCGATGAGCGGCTTTGCTTGCCGACGGAATGATGGTCATTCTCGGTTGGTTGCCTTCACGATACCTTCACCCCCACGAAGGTTATTTTGTTTCTTTTGAAGCGAAAGTGCAGTCAACTGTCACTGGTTTCGCTTGCAAATGTAGACTAAATATACTCGCTGTTTCCTCCTCTATGCAGGTATGGGAGGAAGAGGACCATGGCCAGGCAGGGTGATCAGGAGCTTATGGCCGTGACCGTGAGCACTCGAGACAAGGAGCTCGCGAAGATGCGGGCCTACAAGGCTGCTGCCGAGGAGATGGGGGTGCGTACTGCTGTAGGGAGCTTGGTGGCGTGAGTCTTGCTGGTGTCTTGTGCGCGTGACACGCGCGCACGCTTTAATTTCACCCCTTTTACTGTCCTCCGCTCTCCAAGTGGCTTGATAGGTTCGGGCGAGGGATTCCTTGAATCCGCGATGGTTTTTGTGGAACTGCGGGGTGTGACTCCGAGTGTTGGCATGTTGGCTGCTGTATCTTGGGAGCGTACGATTTTGGTGCCGGACAGCATTCAAGGATGTCCTAGCTTCGGCTGGAGATTCGCACCAACTTCGTTGAACAAATGCTCAAACCTGGCGTACCAAACACCGATTAATATGTGCAGCCACCATGAAGTACGTCTCGTTTCCCCCACCCAAGAGCAACGAAAACTCATTGGTGCACCGCGCCCATATCGGTTTTGTTCTTTTCCCTCTCGTCGACTATATTCCCCGGCCGCGCTGTGCGGAGTTCGGTTTTGGTCGGTAGAGAATCAAGCCGCCACATTCAACAACCAGCACTCACAAGGTTGAATCCCATGCTGTGTTATTTTATTTTATGTTTGCAGTCCAGTGTGTATGCCGTCCACGGCGTTATGCATATGCAACTCTACATACAAGCCAACGCGAAGATGATCGAGCAAGTGGGCAAGACTCTAGTGACTTATTGAATTCGTCTTGCAGTTTGTGATTTGTTCATGGTGCGTGGTGGTTGTAAGCGTCGACTCTCGGTGACGACACACAAACTCGTTTTATCGGCGTTCATTTCTTGCTCGCAGGAAGACGCCGACGAGCTGGCCATGCTGAAACGGGTAGAGGAGATCACCGACAAGCTACTGAGGGAGTCGTTTCCGGACGCGTACAAACCCGCCCCAGCCAAGCGGCCTAGGGTGAGAGTTTTCACAATTGTTTTTGCAGTGTTCGATCAAGAGGATACGATAGATCGTGTGTAGAGTAGCCCTGCCATTGACCGAATACTTTGTTCGGAACGCAAACCCTTGGGCGCTCCCTGCTCACAAGGTCAAACCATGTCACACTAACGTCGCGAGGATAGTGCGGAGAACGGGACGATTGGACGCTATGACACGCCGCTGTTTTCACTCAGCGTCAACACATAGTTTGGTGTATGTTCCGTCATTCCAATGCCGATTTATTTTGTCATTCGATTTCCCGGCTGCTACTATCACTACTGATGCTGTTGCACGGGCCGTGCGGCCCCCCTCATGCGCGCCCGCCACGCTGCCTGTTCTTGCCAAAACTGAAGGCCGTGGATAGCGACGATGTCTGGGAGAACGGGACGGTTGTGCGTTACCTGGCCCGCGTCCTGGCCTTACTGCTTGCGGCGGCGGGACTGTACGCGTGGAACGACAAGGACGTGCGAGAGAAGCCGGACCGCACCATCAAGGACACACCACCGAGATCGTCAAGACCGTCGGCACGGTCGTCGTCTGCCTCAGACTCGAGGAAGATGCGATAGACATCAAATGCTGTAGCCTCTCGAACCAAAATGGTTGAAATTGGCGGGAGAAGATGTGCGGTAGAGAAGCCAAGTCGCTCCCGCAGTGGTGCTGCATGCGTTTGCACTGCTGTCCTTTGCCCTCGTGAGGGTGGCGTGGGATTCCACGGAGCTGTCTTGTCACGTGGGTGTCACCTTTGCGGATTCAGTTTCAGGTTCAGCAGCAGGAAGCCTTTCATGGCGTCGCCTGCCATGTGGACTAACCCGTATGGTACATGCTGCGGTGACCGACCGTGCTAGAGTCGGAGTCGTTCGTGAGGTTGCGCCAGCTAGCCGCAGATACATCGCAAATGCTAATGGTGGGTGTCTCGGCCTTGAGAGAATTAGAAGCTCTAGCAAGATTGGGCTGAGTACGTAGGCTTGTGTGTTTTTTGAGGGAATCCGTCATTGCGAGGAAAGGGATTATTTTCCTGGATATATCGGGACAAAGATTTTTCTTGAGGTATTCTGTAGTGCTACACATACAATTGTACACATGCTGCTGTGATTGTTTCTCCGCCCTCCGCCCTCCGCTCTCCGCCCTCGTGTTCCGCGGAGGAGCAACGGGTGGTGCTTCGCAGTGGCCCACCGTGCGTCGAGATGTAGTCAAGCGCCTACGAATGAAGCTCCTCTTGCAGGTTTGGTCGGGTGTGTGGAGGGAGTAACTGGCTCTATTTTTGGGACAGAGGCACACTGGGTGCAGCCGTGTTAGGCGTTGGGTGGTAGAGGAAAGCGATCATCACAGCACCGGAGGTATGAGCAAGCCATGCAGCCTCTTATGTTAGCGTGTTGGATTGGGTTCGTCGGCGACAAGAGAAGGCAAGTCGTGCAGCCGCCTGTGTTTGAGAATGTTTTGCCCCCCCCGTGGCCCCCCTGGGGGTTTGTTGCTTTGTTCCCGATAGCGGAACTTGATTCTGTTGCAGGTGCGTAATGTACGTCAGGTGTGCCGTGTCGGAATCCTGTCGACGAGAGATTTACTGTAGATCTTCGAACCTCTGTCATGCGGTCGCCGAATCCTGTAGCCTTGTGATCGGGGCGAAGAAATGTCGCCCACTCGGCCAGGGGGAGGGGGAGGGTGTTTCGGAGTAGTAGGACAATATAATATTGCGAGAGGACGCCCTTGCCTGTGAGGCAGAAGAGCTCTGGTGCGAGGAGCTTGTTTCAATTAGAGATGTTGCGAGAACAGAGTGGTCAGCTAGCTGTATCTCGTGCAAGCATTCTCACAAATTTTTCTGTCTTCTACCACTCTGTCGTGAACATATTTACATACATTATTACCTTGAGCGAGGTCGGAAAATCACCAAGTTCTCCCTGTTCTGTAGCCGAGACGTGCGATATTCTCAATATATCTGTGTACATATTGCTGTACTTGAAGCGCCGAAGAACCCACTTTTCTGAGCCGCTTCGTGGTGTAGCCCGGGCGCGGGTGCATGGTGTACTCACGATAGTTTTCTGTTCCGGGACACATGCACCGGCTGCTCGATCCCTCGGCCCAGGGTGTAAACGGCTCTGTTGGTATGCGCCAACTGGCTGACTCGGCAGCCTTTGTATGCATATCAATGTTTCTGGTGCTTTCATGGGACGCACCTTCCTGGGGTCAACTCCATCCCTTCGGTCGTCACCTTTTTCAGTAAGTAACATCCGGGTTCCACACAAGCAAGTTTTCTTCCTCTTTGCACACCCTCCGTGCCAGCTGCGGCTCTCCATGTATCTCGAGAGGTCGAGAGAGTCCCTTCAGAGTAAAACAAACCACCTGTGACACATGCTATGTACAGCAGCGTTGACCATATAAGGTACTGGTTGCAAGTGAAACAGAGAATGTCAGACCCATTCCGTCACCTGTCACCACCAAGAGGTTGGCTTCAATGCCTGCTGGGCATCGTTAGGTTGGTTCGGGGCTCTGGGTGAACGGTGTGAACACCAATAAATGGAAACTGGAAACGACGGCAAGCAAATCTCATGCGGGGTATCCAACGGCGAACGGCGAGCGAGGAGTATTTATTGTTATTATTATTATTATTGTTATTTATTTTTTTTGCCTTCACATCAAATCAGCGCTCACAGTACTAGTGTCGTTTACTCCAACCCGTGGTCACACAGAAGAGCCCCTCTCCACCCTCCCCTCCTGCGGTACTTTGCCTTCGATTTTTACTGCGAGAAGAGTTCAGCACTCTCTCCCCTCTGTGTACACACGAACTAGCGCTATCCACCAGGCCAGGAGCGGAAGCGATAGAAAAGCTCACTTTGCAAGAAAAGCTCGCTTTCGCCGGGATTCGAACCCCTGACCTGACCCCTCTAGAAGGTTTCGAGGTTACCAACTAGACGTACGGTCTCTAGTCTCGAGTATCGTTGTTGTCGTTTCTCACATTAGCTCCATTGTCCACACCAAAATGGGGAGCCCGTGGTCTCAAAACCCGGCACATACGACGCCGCGGGGAAACAAAACAAAAATAGGGTACAAACCACTCGGAAAAACGAAACAAAATGATAGAAAATAACAGGTACCGCACCGATCGTTCGAGAAAAGAGCCCTCGGAAACCGATCAAAAATGAGACAAAAACAATAACAAAGGAGGACGCTTCCCACACCCGCCTAAAGAAAACATCAAAGGGTAACGTACCAGCACCAGGCACTACGCACCAGGGCATGGAAGTAACGGAGCAAACAGGANCGCCGAAAGAAAAAATGAAAGGGTAACGTAACGTACCAGCACCAGGCACTGCGCACCAGGGCATGGGAGTAACGGAGCAAACAGGGCAAAGAGGCGGCAGATGGGCAGACAGCCAGCCGTACAAAAAAACAAAGGCAACAGCAAAGCGAGATCAAGGTACCCAACACAGCAGAGCAGGCAGGGAGGACATGAAAAAAAGAAAAAAACAACAACGCACAGAGCCGAAG